TGGGGCTCTTCCCCCTTTTCCCCCACTTTCCACCAGCCTCCCTTGGCCCCGTATCTGGGCTCTGCTGCCTGGTCATGGATCTTGTCTGTAAATAATTGTGGACACCTTTATGAAATAAAAAGGTTAAGAGAGCACTAAGATTCTTTCGGTGTTGGATCCTGCAGTTCTGTCTTATAGACAGTGACATTTGCAGTCCCAATAGGCTTCCTGCTATAGGCAGCTGGGTGCACTCCAAGCCAGAGTGCTGGGCAAAGCCTTTAATGCCGCTCCTCTGTAACCCAGCTGTTCTTCCCTTAGTCAGTCCCCAGATCCTCTGCTCTACCCTGTGGCCCAGCCTAGGAAAGATGACCATCCAGTGTGTCCCTGCTGCCTGCCGGCACCACACACAGCAGCACTTCTCTGGAACCCACCTTGGCCCTGAGGAAGGCCAGAGCTCTGCTGTTGTTCTCCAGAAAATGCACACGCAGGCGGCCCCGGCTAGGCGCCGGCAGGGCCTCTCCAGAGATGAGCTCCAGCAGCTGTAGTAGGTGAGTGCCATCGGCCAGCTCTGTGTACAGGTTTTGGATCTTGATGCCCACCTGGGAAGGGGATGGGCAGGTACAGGGTCAGCTCTGCCCACCCCATCCTGGGATCCAGCAGGTGGAGGCCAGAGCAGCTGTCTAGGAGGAAGGAGCTCTGCCTCAGCTCTGTTGTGGGATCCGGAGCAGCCTCAGGCCAATGAACCCACAGCCTGACCCCATGTCCACTGGCCCAAGCTGGGGGTGATCCCAGCCACACTCACCCGGCCGACCCGAAAGATGTTATTGACCCAGTTGGTGAAAGTCTTCTCCTGCATATGCGTGTGCCGAGCCTGTAGCTGGCGGATGTGGCCCATCTCGTACTCAGAAGCCATGGCAGGACCTGGACTGGGACTCGAGCTCAGGGGCTGGGCCTCTGGCTGCAGGTATCCTGTAGCCAAGGATCTCCTGGGGATTATGGGGCTGACTGACTGGACACCAGACCTGCAGCCCTTTGGTGACAAGTGGCCTCTGGACATTTCCCAGACCCTGAAAATTGTGGGGCATGGAGCTAGGGAGGAGTGTATGTCCTGATGTTCCCTCTGCCAGGAGTCTAGGGCCCCACCTGCCACACTGTCTCTGTGGTTGGTGGGGATTGTGGCTTGGAGCCTAGCTAGGTAAGATCTAGTCCTGGCTGCTACTTGAATGGTGTACCCCACCTTCCAGAATCTTCTCAGAGCCCCTGCTACCAGTCTTTTGACCACAGCAGATTGGCCTCCGCTCTGTGGGTTGATCAGGGCAGGTGGAAGGGAAACAGGGACTGCTCACCTTGACGATGTCCAGGTCAGGGGAGGAGGCCAAGGATGGAGATGGCAGCTAGTAAGGGCTGTGCAGCAAGGGAAGAGGCACCAGAGAGGCCTAGGGTGGAGCTGGGGCCAGGCCATAGCCCTCCTCTTGAGCCTGCTTGCTAGGGATAATGGCACACAGGCTGCATTGTCCTCCCACCTGCCTCAGGGAGTGGCCCAGAGGGAGGGGGTGGCTCAAGAATGCTCCAGGCCCATTGCTGGGGGTCTCCTCCTTCATCTGCCACCCCCCTCCCCTGGCAGCTTTCCCTGTCATCAGGGGGTTCTGGTTCTCAGGACACAGAGGCCTTGGAAATGGCCTCTGGCGGGAACATCATGAGGGTGCTAGAGTCTGGGCAGAGCCTCTGGATGGAAGCCTGTGGACCCACTTCCCTATCTGGACTGCCGTCCTGCACCCCAAAGGGCCTCTTGGGGAGCACCTGAAGGGTGGGGCATGGGAGGATCATGCTGGCCAGCAGCCTTCTCACCCATCCCAGGAACAGCCATAGACACAGGGCATCATCAGAAGGTGGCTCTGCTTTCCTGGTCCTGGAAGAAGTGCAGCCAACCTGGCTAGGGCCTGGGGTGGGGGGTCCCTCCAGCCCAGGAGGCTACTTTCTGAAGTCCTCCCTTTTTGTGGGGGACCTGGAACTACAAATGACTATGTAAATGAGAGTCTCCTATAAAACCAGAGACTCAGCATTTACTCTTCAAGTCTCTGTAGAGCTGGCTGTGGCCTGGGGCCTGGGGGCAGGGTGGGCTCAGAGCCCATGGATGGTCTCCTATCTCCTTCCCTGGGTGACCTTGGACTGCCAGAAGGAAAGCAAGTTCTAATTGTGGTGTTTTCACACAACTGTGTGGCTAAACTCAGGGTCACAGTCTCAGGGCTGGGGGTGGGTCAGAGGGTATATAACCACAGTGACCCTGGAGGCTCTGGGAGGGGGCACAATGCTCTGTAGCCAAGGCCTGTGAGAAGAGAGCTGGGCAAGGTCAGCTCTGAAACCTTGAGCCCCTGGCAGGCAGCTGCTGAGAGGTGTGTGCTCAAAAGGGAGCTCCTCCTGCCACTGGCTGGCCTTCTGCATACTGAGCTGAGCCCAGCTCCTTCCCTGCAGGTGGCTCAGATCCAGTCAGCAGCACTTCCACTGCTTCAGCACTGCTGTCCCTGCAGGGCCTCGTCCCCACTGCCCGATCTCAGAGCCGGATACCAAGCCTGGTTACTGTCCACAGCACCACTCTGCCCCAGGTAGGAAGACTGCTCATTACCTGCCGGGAGAAACTGGGCCTGTCAGAGCCACTTTAGTAAGGCCTTCGAGGCCTCCCTCTCATCCAGCTGCTTCTGTGGATGATGCTCCATGTCCTGGATGGTGCCAGCCATTCTCTTGGTTTAGACTGTCCTACCTTGTCCCCATCATCCACATTCTCCTGTCCTAGCAGCCCCATTTAAAGTAGTGCGTCTTCTAGGAAAACCCGTCCTACCTCCTTACCCCAGTGATGACTGGGCTTATTTCCTCTCCTGAGACCCTCGGCCTAGGAGGTATCTTGTGTGAGCACTGAGGAAGACTGAACTGCATGGTGCTTTGTACACAGATCTCCACAGAGGTTGTTTGAAGTTGTGGGATGGAGCAGGGGGGTTGCTTTTCTTTCTCCCTAGATCAACTGCACCTAAAGTCACTGCAGACCATCTCCTCTTTCACTTTGACTGACTGCAGCTCCTGGTCAAAGAGCTTTGTTGATCAATGTCAACTTTATTTATTTATTTTTTTTTGCGGACACAACATCTTTATTTTATTTTTATGTGGTGCTGAGGATCGAACTCAGCGCCCCGCGCATGCGAGGCGAGCACATTACCGCTTGAGCCACATCCCCAGCCCGTCAACTTTGTTTTTTTTTTGTGTGTGTGTTGTAAATAATTGAAATTTCAACAGAAATTAAACAGAAAAAAAAAAAAAAGACTAAATTGGCCACATAACTGAAAAATGCAGCAGGAAGAGGATTTTAGGTGAGGTTTGATCTAGCAGCTCAAATAGTGTCACCACAGGCCACAGGTCTGGATTTCCTTTGCCTTTCTCAAAGCCTCCTTTATCTTCATGCTCCACAGGGTGGCTCCTGCCAGCCTGACGTCCCTCTCAGTGCCATTCACACTGTTGTACCAATAGGCTCACTTCTTTACATTGCAGGGTTGAAGAGAAGACAGACTCTCTTTCCCAAGAATTGGGAGGCCCTGGATCTCAGAGGCTTGAATTGGGTGACAGATCCATTTCTGAACAAATATCTGTGACTAGGGGATGGAATACTCTGGCTCAAGCCAATCAGGACCCACCCTGGAAAGAGGGGTTGGGGTCCAGCTCACCTAATTCTCATTGCTCAGCACCTAGGTTAGAAGAGGGGAGGGTTCTGTAAAGAATAGTCCAGGTCTGCATTGCTCAAACAGTATATGGTGCCAGAGGGAAAAGTCCAGATGTTCACTGTTGGTGGTGCACATCTGTGAAGCACTGCAGGAGGCAGGAGCAGTGCCAGCCGCCCGTCCTTCCAGGCAGGCCTGTGTCTCCTAGGAGCACACTCAGCAATGCCTTGTCCCCGCCTCTGAAGTGCCTACCTCCAGTCTTGGCTTTTAACCTCTCAGGTGGGGCTTGAGCCTCCTCTGTCCCTAGCTGAATGTTCCATGTATGAGTCTCTCCCTACAAAGAGGACACAGGAAGAGTTGAGGGTCACAGGGATGGTGTGGAGAGGAGGCACACCCTCTCCCTGACTTCTCCATCTCATTTCAAAATGGGTTCAAGGAACCCACACTTCCCTACTAAGACATCAGGCAACACCCAAACTCTAGAGTCAACAGGAGAACAACAGTGATTTTTTCCAGAAGTTTATTGTCAATAGACTGTCTCTTATTGTTTGACAGTTCTAAATAAGATTAAAAAATATAGAAGCGTTGGCTATCTGTCCTAAGAAGGCTATTCTTCGGCTACATTCCACATAGGAAATGAACAATAAAATGCTTTCCTTAATTTCATGATTTATCTTGGGTATCACTCTGGGCTTAATGGAGTGGGACTGTGCAAAATGGAAAGGTCCAGGCACAGGTGCAGCCATGAGGCAGGGGGTGTCCTGCCCTGGGCAAGACATTTCAGGTGCCCAGAGAGGGGGCTCCTTGAGGAGACCTAGCAGAGGTTGGAGAAAGGTCTGCAGCTAGGGACAGTAGGGCCAGGGTTCTGTAGGGCTTCTCCAGAGGCTCTGATGAGGCCAGGGGTTGGGGGAACAAAGGAGGCATTTTGCTTGTCATTCCGTGCTCAGAGCAGCCTGATCACCCATGCCCATGACACGTGAGAAGTCAACTCAAGGCCTGCACCTTGTGGGAGGAGCCACAGTCCCAGAGCCAGATGCCATTGCTACATAATGACAAGGGTTCAAAAGAGAAGAGTCCAGCCCTGGAGAAATGAATGGCCCTTGCCAGTGAAATGTGACCCTGCCCCAGACCATGCAAGCTGCAGCGAGCTTGAAGTCTTGAGAGGAAAGAATTGATGCAGGCTGCTTGCCTGGGGAGTTCTGGTGAGTCTGACTGCAGTTTCTCCACAGTGAGGCCCAGCAGGCCTGCGCTGGCAGACTTGCAACTGGAAGGCTGATGTCGAGAGGAACAGGCTGAAATTTCCACATACCCCCTAAATCAAGACTGTGGAGGTTTATTTATATGAGAGCATACACTGTGTAGAAAGTAGGGCTTCAAGATTCATAGGTTTTCTTTGGACTCAGAAAGAACATTAGTTTTAACATTCCAGAGACCTTTGTGCTGGTCCTGGGTTCCAGCGAACTTTTCAGGGTGAATAGCTTCATGGTGTAAGAACATATCATAAAAAGTGGACAAGTTATTTCTTTCTTCTTTTTTTTTCTCAAGAACGTCTCAGGCACCAGTAGGGGCAGGACTAAGGTGTGATCCTCTCCCACACTGCCTTGAAAAGTTTCCTTCTGTGGAGAAACTAGAAACCTCAGCCTGCTGTCCCTTAAACACCTCTGTATAGATACAACCTGGATGAATCTACATGTGTGCACATTGACAAATTTTAAAAATACTCACATGACGCATATATATGTATATATTTGTTTATATACAACAACTGAGCAAAGTTAAAGAAACAAGGCAATTCTGAATGAAAAGTCAGCTCTCCCTGGCATCTCCAGGCCTCTGGACAAACCAACTTCTTTTCAGTCTATCCCTGGTGGCCACCACCCTTTGCACACCTGGGTGGTCCTTACCTTCACAGAACTATCTGCTCATACTACAGTACTGGAATCATAATTTTTTTCTTCTATGTATCAATATAAAATTGCTCATTCAGATTAAAAATATTATGTAATTACTTATAACTGAATTATTTAGAAAGCAAACTGGGGTGGGGGGGTGTAGAAGGTTAGCATCTCAACAGATGCCCCAGAATCAGTATTTTCTCTAAAATCTGCAGTTCAGATCCTGATGTCACCAGAGGCAGGTGACAGGGAAAAAAAAAAAAAAAAGAATTTTTTAGAAGGCTCATGGTACTGTTTTGATTTCATTCATTTTTGGTGTTGGCAGGGCCCATGCCATGTGGTCATAACTATTTTGTGATTCTTATTACATAAATACTGTTGAAAGTCACCTGCCTCCTCCTGCTGTGGCCAACAGAGTAGGTAGGTGGCAGTGGGAACTGACTACCTCCATCTGAGCCATGCATCTGAGCGAGTGGCCTGGAAAGGTTCACTCAAGGACTTGGGAAGACCCATGAGCCAATGGAGAGGTAAGTGGCCCAATCCTGCCTCAAGACTGGCATTCACAATACGACCACATGGTCTTTGAGTAAAGGTTTTATATGAAAGATTTCTGTATAAAGACTTTTTATCCTGTAAGAAAAACAAGAGTGGAAATAAAAATGCCTATTTTCTACAAAAATAGAGTCTAACCCCTTAGATTGATCTCTTCTCCCCCACAGCCCTTGGAAACATTCAGTGGTTGAGAGCCACACTAAACAATGAGAAAGGAGAACTGCCTCTTTTCCTCACTGTAGATTATGTCTGATAAATAGACTTTGCTACAATGTATCAGGCAAACTGGTGAGAAAAACTAATCCGCAGACATCAACATGACCTGAACTGCAAACTAGAGGCCTTGCCAGAGGTTAATAGAGGTTGTGAGCTCCAAATTCCTAACCACACACAGCTTTCTTGGGAGCACCTGGAGGGAGGCCTGGCAGGGGTGGTCAGTGGGTGCTGGGACATGTGCCCTGCTGGCCTGGCTACCTGCTCTGCTGGGGCCCGCAGGAGGGATGGGGGCTCACAAAGACATGGGGCATCAAGCCTGGGCTTCAGTCTTCTCTTTGGTAGACAACTGGAGAAAACAGAAACTCTATTTCTCTGCTCTATTTTTTTTTCCCCACTCCAAATTTAGCAAGAAACAAATAAAATAAATGAGATCATCTTTGTTGCCTCCTGGTGCTCTCTGAAGGACAGATGGGTGCTGCTGCCTCTGAACAGCCCAGTGCAGCCCTGAAACTCAGCTGTTCCAGGTGATGCCCCAGGACCCTTCCCCAGGTACCTGGGTGCCCACCAAGCCCTTGCCACGTTTCTTCAGGCTTCTGAGTACTTGGGATAATTTCCCCTCTCAAACTTTCAATGTCATTATCCATCCCCCGCACCACTACCCCCAATATTTTAAGAGAAACTCAGTGAACTTTAGAGGTGAAGGAGGTCCAGTGACTGCCCTCCTGTCCTACAGATGGAGAGGGCAGCTTTGCCCAAGGTCATTCAGCAAGTCAGTAGAAGAGCGGGTCTCAGGCCCAGGTCCAGGATTCCCATCCCATACTTCCCACCCCGTTCTGCGACCTGCCTTCAGTCGGCTTTTGGCAGGGACTTCCTGTGGGAGGGGGGCACAAGGTGGGGTGGCAGGCTGTTGGGCAGCTCATAGCCATCGAGCTTGATCTTGATGAGGTGCTTGGCCAGTGCGAACTCCTCCTCATCTAACATGCCATCGCAGTCACAGTCTGCCAGCTTCCAGATCTTGCCCAGGACACTGTTGGGCAGCTTGGAGGTCACCATCTCCTTCTTGGCGTTGACTCCTGATATCTTGCCATTGATGGGTGAAAGAGTGTAGAAGAGCTCATCATAGATGGGCTTGTCTTTGGCTACTACCCACTCCTCCTCGTCAGCCCCCTCCTTGGCCCCCTCCCCGTAGCCCTGGTTGAAGGGGCCCTCAGTGGTGCCGTCGAAGGCACCGCCCTGCACCAGCTGTGTGGGCATGCTCATCTCCTCCTGGCTGATGAGGCTCATCAGGGATGAGATCTTGTTGCTCAGCATGTTATCCACGGCCTCGATCAGCTTGGGCTTCAGTGAGTGGAATTTGGTGAAGTCGTAGTTCTCAAGCTGCTCCTGCAGAAGGAGAAAGCACAGACTTGGTGATGTGCTCAGGGAGAAACAGGTGGGGGCAGCTGGAGAGAGATGAGTTTCCCTTTAAAGCAGACTTCCTTCTATGCCCTGTGCTATTCCAGAGCTGTCTCTTTGGTGGGGTTCTCATGTCCAAACTCACCGTTTTTTGGAACGAACTGCAAGGATGCAGTGTGGCTTTTTCTATAGGAGCTGATCTCTGCTGTTGGCTCCAGGAGTGAAGCAACTCCCCTAGGACTTTGAAAAACCCTCTTTCGCCCTGCTTTTTTTTTTTTCTTTTGGTGATACTGGGATTGAACCCAGGGATGCTCTGCCACTGGGTTATATCCCAAACCCTTTTAACTTGTGATCAAACTTGTGATCCTTGTGCCCCAGCCTTGCAAGTAGCTGGGATGACAGGTATGTGCCACCATACCCAGTCTAGAAACTTTCCCTCTCTCACATACCCTTTAGCTGAAATCATACCACACTGTTAGGGTAACACTTGTGTTTTAAATAAATAGCATGTCATATCTTTCTGTGATATTAACTTTTACATAAACTTATTCTTTTTCTTTCTTTTCTAAATTTTTGGTACTGGGGATTGAACCTAGTGGTTCTTTACTACCGAGCCATATCCCCAGCTGGTTTTATTTATTTTTTTATCTTTATTTTGCTAAGTTGCTGAGGCTGATCTCAAACTTGTGATCCTTCGGGCTCAGCCTCTTGAGTTACTGGAATTATAGGCATATATCATCATGCCTGGCTTAACTTTTTCTTTTTTCTTTTTTATACCAGGGATTGAACCCAGGGGTGCTTAACTACTGAGACACATCCACAGCCCATTTTGAGACAGGGTCTTGCTAAATTGCTTAGGGCTTTGCTAAATTGATGAGGCTGGCTTTGAACTTGAGAGCATCCTGCCTTAACCTCCTGAATCCCTGGGATTATAGGCATGTGCAACCATGCCCAGCAACCTTATTCTTAATAGCTATACAATATTGAACTAACAGAGCTATTCTTCATTTACCCTGTCCCTTGTGGTTGAATGTGGAGGTTGTTTGCAAGGAGAATAAAAATGATTGTCTCTACAGTGAGTGGCAGGGCAGGAATTCTATGCTGATATTTGGAAGGGGAGCCCTAAGTTTTAGGCTGTGCAGGAGGTAGAGTTGAAAGTTGAACAGCCTGGCAACTTCTGAAGAAGAGCCTCCCCATGGCAGCAAATGCTGTGCCACCAAACCCCTGCTGTGCTGTGCTGTGCTGTGCTGAAACCCAGATGCGGCCTGCATTCTGCTCTGAGCAGCTAGGTGATGCAGCCTGTTTTCTAAAATGAATCTGGTTCCTGTGTCCTTCACCCTGACTTGCAGATAAAAGTTGCCAGCAAGTCACTCCCAACCTCAGCAACAAATAACGCTGTCAGTGCTTTGGATTCCTGCTGCCAATATCTTGGTCAGTCCAGGAGGAGGAGCAAGCATCCTACACAAAAATCCCAGTGCTGCAGGGGTAAACAAGTCTGGATTCCCCTGGGTGCACCAACGCCTACCCTATTCCTCATCAACGAGTCACAGCTCTGAGCACACAGAGCCCTTCTGTCTGGTGAGTGAACGTGTGAGGGTGATGACCACCCAAACTGTCCATAAGCCTGTAGGATGTGGATTCTGATGGCAGCTGTCTGGAGCACTGGCAAGGGGACATGGTCACATATTTGCGGGATTGCCAGGAAGCAGCAGCAGGAGTTACACTCCTGGCACAAAGGAAATAAACCTTATACTCTCGTCCCTGCGATTCCCTCAGGCCTGACAAGGGATTGTGGGGTACAAGTTACACCATCATCACCCCTGCCCTCCATCAAGATGGGTCCAAAACAGAAGTCTTTTATTGGGATGACCACATGCTGGAGAGTTTGAGGATGTTCCCATCAACAATTGTGTCCAACAAGCCCGGAGCCCTGAAATTACTTCTTCGCAAGAGACCAAAGTCAGTTTCCAGCCCAGTCGCCACCTGGCTATCTCTTATCCACTCTTTCCCAGCATTACTACAGAGAAGGTCAGAACAGAAGAGGATGGCTCTGCTGCCCCCTGCTGTTGAAACACTGCCAACTCATCAGCTGTGGCGTCCAGAAGGAAGACAACTGAGTCAACAGGAAAGATGGTGTTTCTAGTGCTCTGCTCATTTTGCAATAGTGACAAATCTGTGCTGTAGGTCAGGTTCCCTCTGTAAAAGGTATGGGGAAGATGCAGGCAGCCTGACAAGGTCACAGAGCCGGTCCTACCACCAGAGGAAAGCCTTCAAAATACACATTCGACTCACTGTAACACCTGAGTCACCCTGACCAGCCTGTCCCTGAGAGGAAGGGAGAACAGAGGCTAGAGCTGGCTTTGGAATGTGGTGAACACCTATTTTGTATAGGATGAAGACTTGGGGACAGGAGGCGCTAACCTACATTCATGGCCACTCAAAACTTCCTAGCTGACAGCAACTAGCTTGAAGCCTCGCGTGACAGTGCTCCCAACAGGCTCCAGGCCTGCCTCATTCCCTGGGATTGGGTGATCTGATGGGACTGGGTGATCCTGGCACAAAGGAAAGGCACAAAGCTGGCTTTCCCAGGAGGAATCTTCCTTGGGTTTTTGGGCTTTCGTCTAAAAATCCCTGGTCCTATAAGTGAAAATCAAGGCTTGGCCAGGGTCCAAGGAACTCACTTCCTTGGAGCCTGCTATGATCTGGCATTATAGCAAGAAATGCACATCCCAACAGTGGGCTTTGCTGCCAAAAGCTTCACTTCCAGCCACAGTCTCAGTGGTGAAGACTAAATTATTTTATTTTATTGGTTGTTCAAAACATTACAAAACTCTTGTCATATCATATTTCATACATTAGATTCAAGTGGGTTATGAACTCCCATTTTTACCCCAAATACAGATTGCAGAATCACATCGGTTACACATCCACATTTTTACATAATAAATTATTTTATATCTGTATTTATTTATTTTTCAGTATTGGGGATTAAATCCAGGGCCTTGCACATCCTAGGCAAACTCTTTCCCATTGAGCTACACTCCTAGTCCTTTTAAAGTTTTAAGATTGGGTCTCACTAAGTTGCCCAGGCTGACTTCAAACTTACACTCCTGTTGCCTCAGCTTCCTGAGTAGCTGGGATTATAGGTGTGCACCACTGTGCCTGGCTGAAGACCAAATAACTTTTACCTCCATTTGTTCATCGATTTATTCTAGGGGCCTGGAATAGTGCTTGGCCATAGTAGGCTTAATTGCTACTTCTTGGATGAATGAATAAATGAGTGAAAAGGGAAGTTGTCAGGGTGGGGTTGCTTGCTCCCAGTCCCAGGGCACTCAAGGGCCCACTGAAGGTGCTAAAGCACCAGCATGGGGCTGGACACACAGGCTCTCAAGTAACTCCCATATTCCAATATTCTCCAGCTTTGAATAGGCATGACTCATTTTCTTTCCTAGTATTTATCCTTTTGCCTCAGCTCTGGGAGGTCTGGGTGACCTCTCATCTCACCAGGCCCAGGCCAACTGTGTCTCGAGTAGCTGTGGTCCAGAATCTACTCCTATCTTGTGGGGCACACCAGGGGCCACAGGAAAGGCCCCAGAGGGACTCACTGGAGCCTCAGCATCTCAGGAACAGCTTCTTTGGGTGGTGGGGTGTTATGGCAACCTCGTTAGGCTAACAAGCCACAAAGGCCCCTGTGAGGCCACGACACATCCTGGGTACTTCTTAATGACTTTTATTTATGTCAAGACACCAAGTTCCTTTCCAAACTGAAGTTCTCTTCCGAAGCACCCAAGAAAATTGCTGTTCTGCAGTTTGGTCATGGGGTGCAGGCATAACCCCGGGAGGGCTGAGAGGGGAATTTTCCAGGAGACTACTTTAATAGGACAGTTCTCAAATTAAACATCTCGTGACCAGAAGAAACCCAATTCATGCTGTGAGTATGGAAATACCTATTTCATTGCTGGTAGAAAAAGAGATATTTCTGTATTTATTGTAAAATAATTATAGCCTGATTATATTTGAACGATCATACGCATGGAGTACTTACCTGAACCCAGGTGTAGAGTGATGTTGCTCAAACAGTGAGTATGAACCCCATCCAGTGTGTGTGAATTATTATTATTTTTATTTTTTTTTAGTTGTAGATGAACATAATATCTTCATATGTATTTATTTATTTTTATGTGGTGCTGAGAATCGAACCCAGGGCCTCATGCATGCGAGGTAAGTGCTCTACCACTGAGCTACAACCCCGGCCCAAATTATAATTATAATTATTTATTTATTTTTAATAAATGAAAGAAAGAAGGAAGGCAGGCAGGCAGGCAGAATTGGTGAAGAGGGCATCATTTTAAAAAATTTAATATTTTTAGTTGTAGATAGACACAATACGTTTATTTTGTTTATTTAGCTTTTTTATGTGGTGCTGGGGACTGAACCCAGTGTCTCATGCATGCTAGGCAACCGCTCTACCATTGAGCCCCAGCCCCAGCCCAGTGTGTGAATTATTAAAGCTTACGTTGGATTGAAACTTATGCTCCTGCCACCTGCTAACTCTTGCCTCTGCTGTCCACTGTCCCCTCTCCCTGCCTCTCCTCTTCTCCCCTCCTGAATCCACCAACCTTTGTCCACGTTCTTACTTCAGTGTTGTCACTTTCTGTGACTGGAGACAGATGCACCTGGTAGTCTCAGCACATAGTCAGTATGCAGGTGGCCTTTGGCCTATGTAGTATTTTTTGAAAGTCTGAGCCAAAATTTGAAAGCCAGGTGATTTTACATACAAATCCAGTTTTCTACTTGTCTTAAACCATCTAGACCTGTATTCCCACATGGCAGGGACCACTGGGCTGGACAGCATGTCCCTGTGGGGGTGGGCACTCACTCTCCCCCACCATGCTGCCTGACAAGCTCTTGCTGCACTTGCAGAATTGTTTTCTTCCTTGTACAGACAGCCCTCTTGGAAGCCACACCTCTGTCAGGTGTGGAGAGACAGAGGCAGAGAGGGCAACATGATTCCTTTGCTGGCCCTCTTTACCTGGGCACAATGCTAATTGGTGGCTGCAGGCACTGAGTTTGTGTCAACTGCTTTACAGAGAGGACTAAGACCCCTGTGCAGATGAGACTTACCCTGGACAAGAATGTGGCCAGATTGGCTCTGTAAGGACTGTCTGCACCAAAGCCAGAAGGGGTGCCCTGCACAGGAGGACCCGCTTGTCAAAGGTCACCATGGGGCAGTGGATACACTGGTTGTGCCTGCAGCCCCCATTCTAGCTTAGTTGGGGCTGCCCAGATACAACTCAAGAGCAGCTCTTAAGTCAGGCCAAAGTCTGCCCAATACTAGCCTTGCGGAAAAACCCTCGCTGGGTCTGTAAAGTCCAACTATGTCTGCTGAGCCCCATGGCCCTGAGGCTGACTAAGCATATAATCCCACAGTGCCGGCAGGGCGTGAGGAGGGTAAGGTAACCTTCAAGACTACTCCTAGCTATGATTCCCTTAAAGTTCTGGGATTCCGAAAAACAGGCACCACCTCAACATTAAAATTACCCCCTTGAGCTGGGCAAGGTAGTTCAAGCCTGTAATCCAGCGGCTTGGAGGCAGAGGCAGGCTCAGTAAAAGCAAGGTGCTAAGCAACTCAGTGAGACCCTGTCTCTAAATAAAATACAAAAAAAAAAAACCCCAAAAAACAAAAAAACAGAGCTGGGGATGTGGCTCAGTGGTCGAGTGTCCCTGAGTTCAATCCCTGTACACCCCTAAAACTGAAAAAATTACCTCCTTGAACACAGTTTAGAAGCCTTGTCTTTTTTTTTTTCATGTGAGCTTCACTAACCTTTTGCTATATGTTCCCTTCTGTTTAAATATTCTAGAAGGCAGACAATTTCTGTTTAATTCACAGAAGTCTATCATTATGGATTATCATAAGGAGGATGAATTCATTACATTTTCCTTGGTGCTAAACCAGGAGACCTTCATATATCCTCAGCAGGCAGCTGGACAACATGGTACTGCGCCTCACCCCTCCCATGACACTGTAATGGGCTCACAGTACCTGCATTGTCTTGACCTCAGGGAAGTCCCCCGCAGATATCTGGTATTCCCGCTGCAGCTGAATGTAGATTTCTGGTAGCCTGCTGATGAGTTCTCGCTTCTTGTTTTCCTTTCCAAATACATTTGGCATCTCCTTCTTCAGGTAGCTGATGATGTAGGCATGCACCTAAAAAGGGGATATGTCGGTGAGGATGTGCCATTCAGAACTGCTCCAGAGGAGGCACAAACAAGACTGCATCTTACATGCATCAATAATACATAAGGGACACCTACATAGAGCCATGTTCCTCAAGCACAGGAGGGACGAGAGGCCCGAGAGGCCCGGGGAGCAGGGCTGTCTAAGGGGGGTGGGAAGATCCATTCAGAGCTCTGGAGAGCTGCCCTGGACTACAGATTTGAGATAGTAGAGGCGGGGCCAGAGCCACAGGAATGGATGGGACCCCCAGGGAAAGTGAGCAGAGAGAACCCCAGCATCAAGGGCCAGGTAGAGGGAGAGGAACCAGAAAGATTGAGAGGCAAAATGTGACAGATAAGAGCTGTGGGACACCAGATCAAGGGAAGAAAGGACCTGAGTTGGGCCTTGAAGAACAGGTAGGATGTATGAGGGAGAGAAGAGGTGAGCCAGCCCAGGTAGAGGGAAAGGGTGTGCAGGGAACAAGCTGGGGCAGCGTCATGTCTGTACATGATTTGGAAGGTGGGGATGGTGGGCTGCATCTAGACTATTCCATGGATGTCAGGAGCCAGTGGAACTTAGGAGGAGGCTCTGCTAACCTGATGATTGTGCTAATGATAGTTCTGGGGGACAGGACAGGCCAGAATAATGCTGTGAGCCACCTGCTTCCCAGCTGGGCTAGTGACGCTTGGCTGGGGATGGGGTGAGGCCAGGTGGCAGGTGGCAGCTCTAAAATACATCCCCCCAAAGGACTTGGGGAAATTCCCGGGCTGCAGTTCAGTTGTGCCTGAGGGGCGGTTCCAGGGAACCATCAAGGTGGGTTGGAAAGAGTCAAGTTCTGGTAATTTACTAGGAGACCTAAGAGACAGTTTCATGTGGAGCCTGGGAGCATCTGGAAACCAAACTACAGATCAATAATGGCTGACCTGAATCCAGTGAGCAATGAGATGAGAATGCCTACAACCTGCCCGGGACAGTTTAGATGTTGAGATCTATACGGTGGCAATAAAGTCATTTCTGTACAAGACCAGCTGCCTGACCAGGCAAGATGGCAGAAGCTCCCTCTGGGGAGAAACCTCAGGAGCATAAGGGGGAATCTCCAGAAACTCTGATCACCAGGAGGTGGATTGCTCAGGGCTGCCACCGAGGGGGAGGGAATCCTGCTGGAAGTGCCCTGTTTGCCCTGTCACACCCTTGCTCAGCATTTCCACTCTTCCACTGACTTACAGCTTCAGAACAGTAAGACATGCTCATTACAAAAGCTTTCTTTATAAAGCTTGAATTCTACAGAGCCATTTATAAGTCAAGTAAATAACTAAAATAAGAAAGGATGAAAAACAGAGCAGTGATTACAAAAAGAAAATGACTATGTAGCTATGGAAAATTCTATTAAAATGAAAGCAGACTTCACTATAATCTTGTGGAAGAATGAAAATTAAATAAAAGGGCTAAGTGGATACATTCCTTAGCTTAGCTGAGAGTCTCCACTGTGTATGGGTGCAAAATGCGCAAGGGAAAAAACATTTTGCTAAGATTTGAACACCAATGAAAGCACACAATGCCAACAAGGGCGTGCAAGACCACACAAAGCTAACTAACCTCGCTCTGTAGGAAGGTCAACTTAACAAGCACTTGCTGCACTGTGTGGCTATTGCTTAGGATATAGGTTTGGAGTGGTGATACTAAACCTCCCTATCACTAGCAATCTTGTCATTTACTTTTCAATAGCGTTTATATTTATAGTATCCTTTATTTAATATTTATGGTATCTATTTAATATTAATATTAGTTATTTAATATTAAATAAATATTTAACATTAAATGATTATTTAATATTTATAATATTTACAAGATTCTTAGAGATAACTAGAGAAACCCAAAGTTTGAGGATCCTTTATTAGAATTCTGGGCTTTAACTGCATTTCTGAGGATACGCTGAATAAGGGGTAGACCAGCAATCTCCTCACCTTCGATGGACAGAGAATGCTTGGCTCAGGATGGATGGGGCTGGGGAAGCCCCACATGACTTGCAGGGGCTGTAACAATCCACTGGGGAGAACCAGCTGTCCTTGCATTTTGTCCTTGGCTGGACCTGGAATCTCTGGGCTGGGCCTGTAGATACCTTTCCCTTCTGTGCTCAGGAATGCCCTGCTCTGGAGCCAGTTCCAACGAAGGCAGGAACCCCACAGCTGCTTGGCATCCCATCTACAAGGGCTTCTGACAGCCCCTGCTTTTGCAGAGATTAGGCCTGGGGCAGCTGCCAGGGCTCTGAAGGGCTCCCCATGATCCCTTGGTATCTACTCTGTTCTGTGATCTCTCTCTCTCAGCCCCTGATTAGAGAGAGATGGACATTCTGCTCCTGAACACTACCTGGCTCCTAGGGCCTAGTTATGTGAACTGAACTCAGGTGATGTGTATGTGCCATGCCTCTCTACCCACTGACTAGTGCCTTAGACCTCGTGATATTTACTGGCTGATGACCCATACTACTGGTCAATGGGCTGCCTCTCATGCCTTGACACACCTTGCTGCAGATCTTGTGCCAGGTCTTAATTTCCTCCTCCTCCTGCTTGGTACTATTTGAGTCATGACCCTTGGGTGACCTATTTATGCTGCTCTTAGATCCAGTTTGCACTTCTAGGAAGTTCCCTGGCCTGTTCTGTAGAAGTCTCCTGGCATGCTGTCTTTTTGTGGCTGTCCCCCTTCGCCTTCCCTGGGTCATCCTAAGACAATAACCCAGGGTCAGATTCCATGCATGGGCCCCAAACATAAAAAGTTCATCAAGCTACATGGTAAATTATAACTCTGAGAACCACAGAGTATTGAATCTGGAATGGACCCTCTATGTCCAATTTAACTTCTGCTTCTGGAAAATTCATATGAGTTCTTCAGGATCACATAGTTAGTTGGAAGATATAGTTTGACACAGGCACCCAACTGCCTCATTCCTGTCCTTACAGAATTAATTATTTTCTGTGGTTGTGAGTTAAAAATTTTACTAAAGCTGTTCAAAATATGGAATTCAAAATAAACTATGTCTTGGGCTGGGGATGTGGCTCAAGCGGTAGCGTGCTCGCCTGGCACGCGTGAGGCCCGGGTTCGATCCTCAGCACCACATACAAACAAAGATGTTGTGTCCATCGAAAACTAAAAAATAATTATTAAAAAATTTTCTCTCTCTCTCTCTTAAAAAAAAAAAACAAAATAAACTATGTCCTATAGAATGACAGTTTGGAAAACTGATTTGGGGTTTGATTTCTGATGGTTTTTGATTCACTGGGAAGCTTTAGAAAGGCCATTGTCTTAACCTTTGTCCACACCCCAAAGAATAGTTAAGTCATTAGACATTAGAAACAGACATTAAAAAAAAAAAAAAAAAAAAAAAAAAACCACACAGGAATGTAAGACTGCAATCTTGTGACAGAAGGCAAACTGTCATGTTCTCTTCTTTTTCCCCTTCCCTTTTTCCTCTTCCTCTCTCATCCTTTCCCCTCTTTCTCTTATAGTACTAGGGATTGCATCCAGGGATACTCTACCACTGGGACATACCCCAACCCCTCTTTATGCTTTATTTTGGGATAGGGTCTAAGTTGCTGAGGCTGGCCTTGAACTGCTTCAACCTCTAGTCACTGGGATTACAGAGGTGAATACTATTGTGCTCAGCCTGTCTGTCAATTTTCTAAAGACGCTTGGTAAACATAAGGGACAGGTTAAATGGCTCAAATCCAGTCAACTTTAAATGCTTACTCCTGCCCTTCTATGTCTATCTCTTCAGATAAATGCTGGACTGAGGGTCAGAGCTGGCAACAGTCCCTCTGAAACAAAGGAGGAACAGTCAGAAACCTTCTGTTTTTTATATCAAGAAAAAACTAATAGATTAGAAGGGAAATAGAAAAGAGCTCAGAAAGCGGAGAGAGAGGAAGAGGGAGAGGGAGACAAGCAGTGTTGGAAGACCAGGCTCAGGCACTGCCACTGCTGCCACCTGCTGGACAACTTGAGGGGAGCATCTGATCTCCACCTCAGTTTGTTCATCCACCCACCTATTGGAAAATATATTCATCTCAGAGTTAATATGAAAATAAGAGATTATGTATTTGAATATTGAAAAAGGAGTATAAATTTTACTTGTTATTAATATTGGCCAAAGGCCAATAGCTGAAGGGGTGGTAGTGCCAGAAATGACTCCTGGCTATTTAGTTCTTACTGAATAATTAATAAATTTGTTCTATTTGAATAGCAATGTGATGAGTTTGGATTCCAACTGCCTAATTCATAAGTGAATGACATTGACCTCTAGGGGCTTGTAAATAGTCTTATGTTGTTCAATTCATCATTTTTATTATATAAAATTAAACTCCAAGTTTTTTTTTTTTTAAAAGCTCCAAGTCTTCTAATGATTATGACTAAATCAAATGGATCAAAATAATAACTTTTCTCTAGGCTAATAATTCAGCAAGTAGAAAGGGATTTCCTCCACTTTAAATGTACGTGAATCTATAAGGGCTGGGGATATAGCTCAGTTGGTAGAGTGCTTGCCTCGCATGTACAAAGCCCTGGGTTCAATTCCTAGCACCACCACCAAAAAAAAAGAATCTCTAGGAAAAAATATGCCTTAAGTATGTGAATTTATATATAATTCACATATAACTTTGATACAAATCTCAACAAATGTGTCCAGTGATTGAGTGATTGTGTGTGTGTGTATGTCTCCAAGACTAAGAAGCACTACTCAGGAGAGGTGCTGGCTGGATTCACCTGACATTGGAGGACAACACCAGGCAGCAAGTGCAGGAAGCTACCAGTGCTTTGATGGCATGGACATTTCCCTGTATTGTGGGCAGTTGTTTCAGGGGAGGCAGGCTAGGAAAGCAGGGTTAACTGTGCTACATCTCCGCACACTTAACACAACCTGGTGGAGACTGTGTTTTTGTAAGTCTAGTTGGAAACTTGCACAGAGCATTAAAAGCTGGCAGTTTGGCTCATTATAAAAGTGG